AGCCAGTTTGAAAAAGCTATATACTGTATGATCCCAACTATATGACATTCTGAAAGGCAAAACTATAGTGACAGTTAAAAAAAAATGAAAAAATAAATAAAATAAATAAATCACTGATCACTGGTTGCTAAGGATTTAGAAGAAGAGAGAGAAATGAGGAGGTGGGAGCACAGATTTTCAGACAGTGAAACTATCTTGTAAGACACTAGGATAGTGGACAGAAGACATTATACATTTGTCAAAACCCATAACTATACAAATAAAAAGTGAAGCCTGATGTAAACTAAGGACTTTAACAATAATGTATCAAGACTGGTTCACTAATTGCAACAAATGTGCCACACTACACACATGTTAATAATAGGAGAACCTGCGCAAGAGGAGAGGGGATGCGTGGGAACTCAGTACCTTCTGCTCAATTTTTTCTGTAAACCTAAAACCATTCTAAGAAATAAAGTCTGCTAATAAAAAAATAAACCTCCCTAAAGAAAATCTGAGACACAGGCTTCATTCGAGAATTCTTCCAAGCATTTAAGGGGAAAAAAAAAACAACCTCATACCAACCTTTCAGCAAATAGAAAATAAAAAAAGAGGGAACACTTTCCTATTCATTTTATCAGGCCAGCATAACCTTGATATAACATTTATGGAAGACATTACTAAAAAGGAAAATTACAGACCAATCTTTTTGGACATAGATGCAATCTTTAAACACTTACGAATAGAGTTTTGGTAATGCATAGGATGTAGAAAGCCAGTACAAGATGTGTCACTTTCATCCTAACAAATGAGAAAAAGTGGTATAATCTACAAAATCATAACTTCTGAATCCACCAGAAAATTGAAGATATAAGACAATCCAGTGAACTAAATTCCAAAGAGTAACAAGTCCCTCCAAGGACAGTGAGGACCCCAAATGTTTGACAAAGAACAGGAGGAGAAGGCTCCCATACAAAAGTGAAAAAGAAGAATTTAGCTAAGAATTCAACAATTGCAGAGTAGATGTGGGCTAGCATGTCCATTTAGAATAACTGGGAGGTCAGAACTAAAGGGCGATTCCCACCCCCTTGCATGCTCTTTTCCCAGGTGCCCACCCGGAAGATGGAGGGCAGAGCATGGAGCTGCAAAGAGCCCCCTTTTGTGGCACAGGTGTGCATGGAGGGACAGGCTGCTACCGCAGAACAAGCATAAAACCAAACTCTCCTCTCCTGGAGGAAAATGCCTCAGACCTCTAAGGAAAACTCAGAAACCAAACCACTCTGAAAGACAGTAATTCATTGCTTCTGGGAGTAAGGCAGATGCAAAACCATCTTCCTCATGGAAAGGTAAGAACACCTTTGGGCCCCGGATCCTACACCAGTCTGAAAAGCAGAGGAAGCCAGCACTAGGGCAGAGCAGGGATCTCTGTCACCCATTATCTGCCACCGACACAAGGCAGAATTTGACTGCAAAGGGAGAAGAGGAAGGAACACTGAGAAAGACCTACCCCAGCGCACGTGGATCGGGACAGGGCCAGGAGAATTAGGACGCCTGCACCTGCCAAGCGCTCAGGACGGGTGACAAGCTGCAGACTACTGCTGGGAAGGGCTAAGAGCATGCAGAGAGACTCCCCTCTGGGGCACAGGCAAGCAGGGACAAGTGTCCTAGAAACACTGAGAAAATCCCCCAAGACCCTGGAACCCTTTCTAAGGACAAAGTGTATAGCAGGCCACCAAATCTGAAGCCGTGATACAACTGAAGCTAATGGCATGATAATAAAACATCTGGCAGTGTTGACTGAAGCCTCTTCATAGTAAGATACAGAACACTTGAACAAAATTGTCTGTCTATTTGATCTCATTGACATTTGCAGAACAGTAAGTGCAGAACACTAATGCTTTTCAAGTACACATTCAACAAGATGAATAGCCCAAATAGATTTTAAAAAAAAATTATTAAAAATGTTTCCACAAAGAAAATTCCAGGCCTTACTGACCTTACTTGAAATTCCACCAGACATTTGAGGAAGAAATAATATTAATTCTATCAAATTCTTCCAGAAAATAAAAGAGAAGGGAACACTGCCCAACTCAGTTTCTGAGATTAGCACTAATATCAAAACTAGACAAAGATATTAAAATAAAACTACACCAATATTTTTATGAAAATATTCATAAAATCTTCAACAAACTATTAGGAAATTAAATCAAGATATATATAAAAATAACAATGTATTGTAACCAAGTGAAATTTATCCCTGAAATGCAAAAACAATCAGTATTGTTCACCATATTAACATATTAAAAATTTAAAAAATCACATATATAAGAAGGTACTTAACAAAATTCAACATTCATTCATAATAAAACTCTCAGAAAAACAGGAGTAAGAAAGAGTTTCTCTAACCTAATAAAAAGTATCTATACAGCATTGTACTGGAAACAGTAGCCAGTAAAACAAGGCAAGAAAAATAAAAAACATATATATGGGAAAGGAAAAAGTAAAATTGTCTTTATTCACATAATAGAAATATACAAAAGAGGTACAATAATAAATAAGTTTAGTAAGGCTGCAGGATACATGGCAAATAGACAAATATCTATTGAAATTCTACATACTAACAAGAAACAATAGGAAATTGAAATGAGAAAAAAAATCAGCATTTATAATGGTATAAAAAAGAAATACTTAGGGGGAAATTTTAAAATATGTGCAATATTTGTATATTGAACTGTAAAACACCAACAATAGAAAGTAAAGATATAAACAAATGAAGAGATAAAGTATATTCATCGGCCAGAAAATTCAATATTGTTAAGAGGTCAATTCTCCCCAAATTGATCTATAAATTCAAAAAAAAAAAACCAATCCAAACCCAGGAAGGTTTTTGGTAGTAATTTATAAGATAACTATAAATGTTATATGGCAAAGCAAAGATAAAATCTATATGGCAAAGGACGTAGAATAAACAAAACAATTTTTTTAAAAAGTTGGAGGACTAATTACCTGATTTCTAGACTTACTATAAAGTTACAAAAGTTAAAAAAAAAAAAAATGTAGCATTAGCATTAGTGATAGACAAACAGGTCAATGGAACAGAATAGAGAGCCAGACACAGTCCTGTGTGTGTGTGTGTGTGTGTGTGTGTGTGTGTGTGTGTACAAAAGGAATTTTCAACAAAAGTGCCATGGAAATCTGCAAATAAGCACTAGAAATAGGTGTGGTATTGGGCATGTATGTGCAAAAGAAAAAAAAAGCTTTACATAGCAACATACACAACAATGAACTGGAAATGGATCACAGATCTAAATGTAGAAGCTAAAACTATAAAACTGCTAGAGAAAGATTCTTAGGTAAGGCACAAAAAACACAAATCATAAAAGAAATTGATAAAAACATGTCACCAAAATTAAAATGTTTTGCTATTTGAAAGACTCAGTTAAGATGAAAAGATAAGCCACAGACTGGGAGAAAATATTTGCAACATTTGTGTCCTTTATATAAAGAATCCTTACAATTCAACAATGAAAAAACAAACTATTTTTGTAATGGGCAAAGGATTTGAACAGCTTACTTCACCAAAGAAGATATAAGCATGATAACACGCTGGATATCATTGGTATTAGGAAAATGGGATTAAAATTTCAGTGCGGTATCATTACTCTCCTTCCAGAACATTGTAATTAATATATAAAAATTAATTAATAAAAAACTGACATATGTATTAGCAAGGATGCAGAGCAACTGAAACTCTCATAATTGCTGGTGGAAATGCAAAAATGCAACAGCCACTTTGGAAAAGTCTGGCAGATTCTTACAGAATTAAACATATACTTATCATACAACTTAGCCATTCTACTCCTAGCTATTTATCCCAGAGGAAAAAAACACACAAATATCCAAACAAAACTCTACACCAGAATGTTTGTATCAGATTTACTTAAAACCACCATAACAGGAAACAACTCATAACTTCATAACCCAGGATGTCCCCAGCAATCAAAGATCTCGGATAAACAAATCACAGTCTATCCAAACAATGAACTATTACTCAACAATAAAAAGGAGCAGAACTGTCCTGGATGACTTGGCTCAGCGGATAGAGCGTCGGCCTATGGACTGAAAGGTCCCAGGTTCGATTCCCGGTGGAGGTCACATGCCTGGGTTGTGGGCTTGATCCCCAATGTGAGGCGTGCAGAAGGTAGCCAATCAATGATTCTCTCTCATCACTGATGTTTCTAACTCTTCCTCTCCCTTTCTCTTTGAAATCAATAAAAAAATAATAATTTTTTTTTAAAAAAGGAACAGAACTTATGTGGGAATCAGACCTATCAGGGTACGTAAATATCTAATCACTATGTTGTACGCCTTATACTAACATAATACTGTAAGACAACTGTCATTGAAAACTAAAAACAATTTTTTTTCCAAAAGAAAACTACTGAGATACCAACAACATGAATGAGTCACAAAAGCATGATTCTAAAGGGCAGAAACCAGACACAAAAATGTGCATACTGTATAATTCCATTTGCATGGCACTCACACATACACAAAGATCTCTTCATCAACCTCTGCATCAAAGGACCCAGCACCCAGGGAAATGCTCGGGGAATGCGGGTGGACGGACAGAGGGCGGATGGCTGCAGGGAGGGGAGAGGCAGGAAGGTGAGCGATGCTAAGGCACAAACCCACGGACAGAAGAGGAAAAAGTGAGGCAAGGTGTGGCCCAAACTGATACCAGCCGTTTTTAATATTAGACCCTGTGAAAGGCTATAAGAAGAATAAATATCTCTAGCGTTTCTGTGTCCTAAAGAAAGGCATGATGCGCCCCATCCTCCTTCAAACACCCATTACCCCACGCGCGAGGCTGAGCTTGGGGACCTGGAGGAGAGGGCTTTCCGCGCCAGGAGCGGAGCTGGGAGATCGGAGGGGATGCAGCCGGGGTCACAGGGATTCATTCCCCCGGAGCCCGTCCGCCACAGCCCCGTCCCCCATCCCTTCCCACCGGCCTCACTCACCCAGGCCTGGCGTTCCAGCTGAGCGTACAAATTGGAGCCCTTGAGTTTCTGGACCATCTGGGCAATGCTGAGAGACAGATCCGACTCCTCCTGCCACATTTCCCCTGCCGCAGCCCGCCAGGCGGCGGGGACAGGCCGCCGGCGCGGAGACAAGGGCTGTGGGGTCCGGCTTAAAGGCTAGTGACACTTCTTCCGGACCTTATTACGCTGGGACGCCTCAGCGGGGCGTTACCAGGCAACCGCCCGGCGTGCGTCCGTTCCTCTCTGGTGTCCCCCCGCGCCTGACGACCCCAACACCTGCGTTCCGAGGGCAGAAACGACACCAGAAGGTAGATCTTCATGGCATTGTTCCTGCTTAGTCTGTGGTTGAAAGGCAAGAAGAGCTCTTTCCTCCAGAGCCTCAGCGCCTCCGATGCACGAGGGAGACTCGGAGAGTTGCTTATTCTTGTGTTTTATTATAAAAGATCCTTCCTCTTCCGCCTTTACATCTCTGCAGAAAGACATGCAAATTACTTGCAAGAATAATCAGGCTCTCTGATCCTAGCAATGTGAACTTGGGCGAGGTACTTAAATTTCAGAACTCAGTTTCTGCCTCTCTAAAATAATATGTACCCAGTTCACTGATATTGTGATGATACGCTGCGGTAACAATTATAAGGCTGTCTAGCACTATACTTAGCTTTCCGTCTTATTTGCATTTCTCCTGCTTCTATTCGCTGTGGGTTTATGCCAGGAATAAACAAACGAGGTCTTCTCATCTAACAACTTCTCCAGGACGCGTTTATTTCTGGGACACATTGGCAATTCAAGGATGACTAAGACATTGCCCCAGTCTTCAAGGAATATGCCATCTAGAATCCTCTTCTTTCATTTATTTGGTCACTTATTTAGAATTCATTCAGCTTTCAATTTACTGCACAGTCACATACAGGAATCTGTGTGCCCACAAAGTAAAACATGATTCTTGCCTTCAAGGAAACATCAAAGCTTTTTAGGAAAACCAGAAGTAGCTGAGTTAAATAATTGAATGATATTACCAAAGGCAACTAGAAAAAAGGCCTATGGGATAATACACAAACTAAAATAATATTGACAAAATAACAAAGAATTTATTTCGAATGTCTCTATGCATATATATTTTAAATTAGATTTTGTTGGGGTGGCATTGGTCAACATGAACATATAGGTTTCATGTGTGGATTTCTAAGTTACAAAATCTGTATATAGTACCATGTGTCCACCACCCAAAGTCAAGTCTTCTGTCACCTCATATTAGGACTTCTTCTTCTTCTCCCTCCCCCCATCCCTGTCCTGGCAATCACCATACTACTGTTTGTGCTCATAAGTTTCAGTTTCATTTCCCACATATGAGTGAAATTGTATGGTTCTTAACTTTTTCTGTCTGACTTATTTCACTTAGCATAATGCTCATCTCTGTTGTTTCAAAGGATGCTGTTTCATCCTTTCTAATGGCTGAGTAATAGTCCACAGTGTATAGGTACCACATCTTTTTTTATTCAGTCCTCTATTACAGGATACTTTGACTGCTTCCATGTCTTGGCCACCATGAATAATGCTGCAATGAACTTGGGGTTGCATATATATTTGCATATAAATGGTTTTGAGTTTTTCGGGTATATACTTCGGAGTGGGGTTGTTAGGTCATATGGTAGCTCTATTCATAATTTTTTGAGGACTCTCCAGACTACTTTCCATAGTGGCTGTATCAGTCGATCAGCAGTGAATGAGGATTCCCTTTTCTCCACAACCTCTCCAACACTTGTTATTGTTTGTCTTGTTGATAATGGACCTGTAACAGGTGTAAAGTGGTATCTCGTTGTAGTTTTAACTTACATTTCCCTAACTTATGCATATGTTTTAAGTAAAACAGAGGGCAGATTCCAATAGAACAGACCAAGGTTGCTGCAAAAACTGTAATCTAACTTCCTTAAACATTAATGTGCTTAGAAATCACAGATTTTTTTAAATTCAACAGGCCTCTAGTGGGATCTGTTAATGTGCATTTCTGGAAACTCCCAGGAGATTGTGACCCTGTTGGTCCAAGGGCTACATTCTGAATAGCAAAGGACCAGAAGAGGTAAACAATGGGAATTCAAAGGGACTGGATCTGGCATCTATGCATGACACCTGGCATTCATAAAACCTCTGTTCAGAAATTGTAATGGGAAATGCAAGAGTCCAAGTAACCTATTTGGTCAGGGTTATTTGTTAAAAACAATTTTGGAAAGAGGCAGGCAGGGGAAAACAAAGTACTTAAAGACAATTAATGACAGACTCTACCCAATGTGTAATTTCTCTACACAACATGTGATTTCTCTACAAAACATTCTCCTACAACTCAAAATTTCTCAGACTTGCAGATGAGTGAATCTCGACTTTTTACCATTTCTTCATCACAACACCCTGCCATTCATGAATCTCCCAGCACAAACCTCACTTTAAATAGCATCAAAAGAAAGAAAACGATGGTGACAGTTCTTTTGAGATCGAAAGAGATGATGTGATTAATAACTAAAAAGATAAGAGTGCTTATGCTGAGAAGATTAAAAATCACAGAGGGGAAAGAAGATGAAGATGTGGAGCAGAAGAAAAGGCAAGTGCCTGGAGTAAGAAACTGCCTAAGCTCCTTCCTGCTATGTACCCTTGGGACTTCATGAGTTCCTTCCCGCCAGAGGGTTTCAACTTTCTCACTAGTAACAAGAGAGTAAAATACCCACCTGAGGGGATAGTATGAGAAACAAACATACCCAGCATTAAAACATTAATAAGTATGAATGAATGAAATGTTAAAATTGAGATAATAAAACGAATGCTGTGTACTGTTGACATGGGAATGAATGAAATAAATGTAGCAACATATATGAAAATGTACAGTCTTTAAAAAGTTGTGTTTTTTTAATTTTTTAAATATATTTTATTGATTTTCCACAGAGAAGAAGGAAGAGAGATAGAGAGCTAGAAACATTGATGAGAGAGAAACATCGACCAATGTACATGCCCTTGACTGGAATCGAACCTGGGACCTTTCAGTCCACAGACCGACACTCTATCCACTGAGCCAAACTGGTTTTGGCAAAAGTTGTGGTTTTTTTTTAAAGAAGAGAATAATTTGAAGTCTTCAAAACAACAACTTTGAAGTTTGGATTTGATTCTGAGGCATGGCCAAGCCAAAAAAAAAAAAAAATTAATTCCAACATTTAAAATTTGTGTTTTACATAGATAGAAGCATGTGTGTTGGAATATAATACAATTCCTGGATGCCCTTTATTCTCTTTTTCTGATTCAATTTAGCAAAACTTTTCAGGGCAACTGTCTGTGATAGAAATAGCAGAAACACACTCACAAAAAAAAAAAAAAAATGAGTAAGAAATTGTCCCTTCTCTCAAGGAATCTCAAATGGATGATGAAGCCAAAACTCACGGAGCTATAATGATACAGAGACACTGATAATCTCCCACCCATGCATCTAGAAATTAAATGATATACTCTGAAATCACTGTTACATAAGAAACAGAACGTGTAGATTCCAATCTCCATCTCACAAAGGGGACCTTTGACTTGGAAATTCTTACTCTACCCAGAGTGTGTAAGGATTGTGAAAACATTCTATTTCTGACATTTTGGAGTAGACCAGGACTCAGCCTAACAGATTAGTAGAAAAAGGGATCCAAGTACAAAAAGGGATTTGGTAGTTAAACCTATATAAACAGAGACAAAAGACAAACAGAGGCAGAGTGACGTCTCCTCAAAATTCCCTCCAATTCAGAACAGAGGCATTTCAAGGCCAACTGTGTAAGGCTTTGGGCCCAGTCCTGTCGTTCTCAGGCCTGCTCTACTTTTATCCATTTCCATACAACGTGAGCCTAACACAAACATGAGGCGCACTTTAAGGTATACTGGAGCATATTCTTACTCTATTCACATGCCTGTGGCCTGCATAAACCTTACAATCTGCAATGGAAAGTATTTTCAGCTCTTAGCAGACTGTGTCTGCTGAATAGATTGATTGAACTGTGTGATCTCTGGAATTGACTTTAAAAATAAAAAGTATATCTCCCTAACCGGTTTGGCATCAGCCTATGGTCTAAAGGGTCCCAAGTTTGATTCTGGTCAAGGACATGTACCTTGGCTGCTGGCACATCCCGAGTGAGGGGTGTACAGGAGGTAGCTGATCAATGTTTCTCTCTCATCGATGTTTCTAACTCTCTATCCCTCTCCCTTCCTCTCTGTAAAAAAAAAAAAAATCAATAAAATATATTTTTAAAATAAAATAAAAATATTATGCATGTTGTATTGTGAATAACTGGCTTCAGTGTCTTTGGGAACAAATGAGCTCATAGTGATACCAGTGTCCTGCCACTGGATAAATAGTACCCGCCTCCATGCTGGAACAGGGCCTCCAGCTCCTTTTCAAAGACTTGTCCAGTTACTTTGGGAGTCCTCAGGAAGTGGCTAAGAAAAAGTCTGTTTGTGATGTGCTCTGCCTGCTTCCGTGATGTCTGATGCCCCAAAGCCAGGGTCCAGGCTGAGTATCGGGCTGAGTATGCCGTCTTCCACTTCCCCATTCTTCATGGCTCTAAATAGGGAGAACTGGGCAGCTGGCTCTGTGAGCAAGCTCTGGACTGTGCTGACTCACAGTAAAAATTCCAAGCCACAGCAATTTAAAACATTCTAGAATATTTATTATTACCAACAAGTCTGGACCAGGGTCCCAAGGTTGGCTCAAAAACTCAGCTGTGTTTGTCTTTCTTCGTCTTCAGCCATCTTTGGCATGTTGGCTTCCATTCTCCAGTTTATTGCCTCCATCCCAAGGTGACTGTAGTTCCAAATATCACTCTCTCCTTCCACTGCCTACAGAGGCAGGCATGAAGGGGGGCGGGGGTGGGATGAGAAAAATAAAAAAGTTTCCAATGACTATGTATGGTTCTCTTTTGAGGAAAGGCTGGTTTCCCAAGAAGACTTACTCATACATCTTATTGCCTGAAGCTGTGTCACATGACCATTTCTAGCTGAAAGAGAGGCAAGCAAGGAATGATCTGGTGTTTTATCCTCAATCCTGAGAGAATGATGAAGGAGAA